TTGTCTCCCATATCACCATGACTCATTTGAAAGTGCACTTTATTTCATACACAGTGGAAACTCTGTCCTGAAATCTGGATGGCTTTCTCAAAAATTAGTGGCATAGGCTAGGATGAATACCAGGTACTGAATAAATGCATAATGTGATTCTCACGTAAAGGGTCTCTTTGGAAGTGGTTCCTTAGCCTCGTGTTTGATTTTTGTTTCATTTGCTATCGTTTACTGGTACAGAATATTTCATAAAATCACTTAGAGTAAAAGCAGGGATGAAGTTGTGTGAGGGGGAATACTTAATATATTTTTAGAAGAACTGGTGTTCTGTTGGTGATAGCACTGTAGAAGCATAAATACAATGTCTACATTCTGCATTCTTTCTGTATATATGATCGGTTACCCAAAGACTGCAAATTAGTTACCTAACATTCCCTAAAGAACTAAGGAAAGCGATAAAAATGTATATTTACATCATGTGTGCTTTGGCAGCTACTATGGTTCTGACCCCAGTGAGATGAGGTTGAAAACTGATCTGCAGAAATTCATGTCTTTCATTGACTTGCTCAGGAGCAGTGTATGTTATACGTAATAAGGTCTTTCACTTGAATTTTCTTCTCAGTTGGAAAATCTTATGCTGGATAAAGATGGACACATAAAAATAACAGACTTTGGACTATGTAAAGAAGGCATCAAGGATGGAGCAACAATGAAGACTTTCTGTGGCACTCCAGAGTATCTTGCGCCAGAGGTATGTTTATGTTGACTGTTGTACTAAATTATCTTCTTAAATGCCATCCGTAATAGCAGTAGCAATACAGAATAATTCCTGTGCCATAATGTGTTCGTACAGTAACTACTGTTATTTAACAACACATACTGAGAATCTTTTATTCATCATGTTCTGGGACATATCTTTAGTGTAACAATATGTGATAATTTTCGGGCAGGGTAGTATCTTCCTTCCACTTTAGGGAATATTTACATTTTACTGGAACAGTGCTTGCTTCTTGTGTCAGAAATCTAATTTTAAAAAAACCTTCTAAATCACTTCAAATACTATTTGATGGATTGATGACTGTTTTGCAATTTGTTTGCTGTGCGTTGGTCTATTTGAAAGCTATCAACAGGACTTCACTTAAGTAGTAAAAGTATTGCCCAGTTCTTTTACTCTTTGAAGACCCTGTAAGGCGACATGTTTTCAGAAACAGGACAGACCAAGCTTTTCCTGCAATTTAGCATGGTATGCATTAAAAGTGCCAACTGTTTTGTGACTGTAAGAGCACGAGATGTTTCTCAATGTTAATTTGAACTTTTCAGTTTCAGAGGAAATAAATCCAAACAAGGGATCTCAGTCCCCAAACTGTATGTTTTGGGGATTTTTTTGTACTAATTCTTTTTTTTTTAATAGTGTAAAATGCAAATGTGTGCTTGCAACTTTCATCCTGGAAACACTCCTTCTGAGAGTTGTGCAACACAGGTGGTGTTATAGCCATGAGTTAGTTACAGGCAGATCAAAAGTGAAATTGTGTGATAGAGGATATATGTATACATGGTATTTGCAGGCAGATGCTCGTTTTCTCTGCCCACGCTCTGAGCTGTCTGAAAGCTGACTCGCTGTATTAGTAGGGCATCATGCCTGAGCTAACGCGGTGTGCCTCACAGAAGGGCTTGTTGCCTTGCAGTGGGTGCTTTGCTACCCGTGGCGTTAAGGCTTCCATCCAGCTTGGAGCACAGGCAGAAGCAAGTCTTGGGCTGCCGGCAGATTATATATTGTTGGCACAGCCAGGATGTGGCCTTTCTCCGAGGTGGGAGACTTGGGCATTGCAAACCTTTCTTGAGTTGAAGTATGCAGAAGTACAAAGTATGGAAAACCAAAGTGGAGGAGGAACATTTCTACTGAGAGCTGATGTCTTTGCTGGTCAGCGCTTTTGTGCTCTCCGCTTGCATAGCCGTAGCAGTGTGCTCTTGTTTTTTGTTTGGGTTTGGTTTTTGTTTTTTTTTTTTTTTTAAACTCGCAGCTGCTTTCAAGGGCCTCCAGTGTCTTTGTAATAATGAAGAACGTGGGCACCTGTCAAAGTAGCTTGCAGCAAGGAGGTGGAGCCAGTCTCATGATAGCTGCCAGCTCTCCATGGATCACCAGAAGTCTTCAGTGAATCTAAATTGGGGTCCGTGCACCACAATTTGAGATTTACTGATGCAGGGAGTAATTAGCAGCATGACAGAGTGTTTATTACTCATAAACATGGCTTTTATTTTAGCTTCCGTCTTAAAATCAATTGCTGAACTTCAGTTTCTCATCAAGGATTTTATGAGGAGACTAAAAATATTTATTGTTTTGGTTTTGTTTTTTCCTAACTTGGAAGAAGGGGATTCCCTGTGCAGGCATTATGTTGTTCTTTCTGTTATATTATTTGCTATTATTTTTCTTTTTAATATTTATGAGTTGGCTGATCCAAAACCCTGAAGGACAAATCCTTTTGATTAACCCAGCTCTATCCCTTACTTGCAAATCCCATCTGTGAGTTGGAGCGTTAAATTCTGGAGGCTTTTGTCATCTGGTCGATAGCATGCAAAAAATCTGGAAATTGTGCGCGAGTGATATTCCGTGCGTTTAAGGTCACACATCCTTAAAAGCAGGGGTCTCAATCTTCATGTCTGCGTTTGTAACTTGAATCCGGCATAGCAGCGTGTTTGTACAGTTGTTGCATCGTTGTTTTTAGGTTCATAGTGGAATCTAGTGCATGGATGACAGTGACTGAACCATGTCAGCTTTGATGTGTCAGATGCATCGATGGCTGTGATGTTTACAGGAGGTGAAGGAAAGAGTTGTAGTTAGTAATCTAGATTATAATACGGAGTGTTAATATGCTTACTAAAGTAACATTTGAAGTATTTGCTGCATTTCAAAAGCACGTGTACTATTTATTACATACACAACAAAAGCCTCTGTGGTTTTGTTCTTCTTTCAATCCTCTCCTATTGCATCTCTTGCAGCAGTTTAAAAAATAAAAATAAAAATCGGAGGCCCCGTGACTGTTTTATTTTAGGTAACCCAAGTGTAGAGGAGTGCGAACAGGAAGCACTTATTGAACGGGGTGACTCAGAGAGCGGTAACTGCATTGTCACACAATATCTCCTGTGAGCTGAAGGGCCACGATGCCTCGAGAAGGACAGGGCCGGCTCCTGGAATCCTGTCCGGCCGGCAGCTGTGTCGGCCGTATACATATACAGGGCAGCTGCAGAGCCAGCTGTCGTTTGGTGTGAATCATACGGCAGGGGATGCTGTAAATAGACCAATGTGGGGTAATCTAATACCTGGCAGCCTTTTGATTTTTACTGCAGGCCCTTTCCCTCATTCAGATAATTAAGGGGAACAATTAGTGAATAAAGAGAGGCAGAGTGCATACAGTTGTTACATGGAGTGTCTCGATGCTTCTTTTTTGTGTGCAAAACCTTTATCAAGGTTTGTAAGAGGTTCAGATCCTACTTTTGTTAAACTTGTGTCAACTTCATTTGGCTCTTTCACCCTTTTAATTTTGAGTGTAAAAGTATGCTGAATTGTAGCAACGTAAAGCTCACACAGACACCATGAGACAATAAAACACGATGGTGGTGCGGTCATGGTTTGTGCTCTTAGCAAGAGTTCAGTGCAGACTCGTGAAAAGAGTAAAGATGACAACTAAAACCTGAAGACAGGGTCTGGAACATGAGACTGTTAATGTCAGCTACAGACAACTGCGTAGGAGACACAAAGTCTAGAGAAGTCCTCGTAACATCCACTCCACAAGCCACAAAACACTCACCACTCCCTTCAGCAACCTTCAGTGCAGAAGATCAGAAATGCACTATGACAGGGCTTCTCCGGAGCAAGCAGGGGAGATGGAGGACACTGCTGGGGTCCCGAGTCCCTGCACCAGCCGGGGCTTTGTTAGGTAGAAGTGCCTAGGGGAAGGGAAAAATAAACTGTGCTGGACTCCTTCCACTGTGAGACCTGGCAGAAGTCCACCCCACTGACAATTCCTGGGTTTGCAGCTCTCTAAGCAGAGGCAGGAGTGTTAAAGCTAGTGAGCAAGTGCCTTTGGAGTGGAGGGGAGGAGGGGAAACGTTTCCAGACAATTTGGCCGCTGTTTTACGGCCTTACAGCCGGTCGAATGTTAGGAGTGGCATTCTGGCTCTTAGTGTTTAAAGTAGATTAGTCATTTAGTATTTGTGGGTGGTCTTTCGGGATGTGCAGAGCCACCCTTTGTGGGGGGCAGGTTGATATGAAGATGATGGGGATGTTTGGCTTGTCGCTTGTGAAGTAACAGGTTGACGGTCTTGTCTTTTCTCCCTGTACTGTCTCCTTGGTGGTTTGGGGTTTTTCTAAAAAATCGGATCCCATTTGGAGCAGTCTGTGATGAATAAGTGAGAATTTAACAGCTGGCTCTGTAACATGAGAATAGTTCTCAGCCTTTGGGCTTTTGAAGGTTGTGCTTGTCATGACCATAATATGAGGGAGAGTGAGAGGAAGAAGAGAAGGAAGCTGCCGTAACATATCCGCTGCCTCCTTTTCCCCCTAGCATGGTGAACGTGGATGCCAGTTCTTTTCAAATGGATCTTCTGCAAATACTCCGCTGGTAGATTCAGCTGTGACATGTGAAAAGATGAACTTGCTGGGGTAAATTTTGCCTCGAGTTCTGTGTTCATGCCTCATTTGGGAATGTCTTCTAAAGCCTTTTCCTTACATTTCTGCAGGTGCTGGAAGATAATGACTATGGTCGGGCAGTGGACTGGTGGGGTTTAGGAGTTGTGATGTATGAAATGATGTGTGGCCGGCTCCCTTTCTACAATCAGGACCACGAAAAGCTCTTTGAACTGATCCTGATGGAGGAGATTAGATTTCCACGCACTTTGTCACCTGAAGCAAAATCTCTCTTGTCAGGTTTGCTGAAGAAAGATCCTAAGCAAAGGTGAGACTGTTGCTTAATAGTTGCACTTTTAAGCAGTCGTGCCGTCAGAAATACACAAAAAAAAAAAAAAAAAAAAAGGAAAAAAAATTTT